AGGTTGGATCAGTTGAACTTAATTGATGAGAAGAGGTTGGCTGATATTTGTCATGGTCAAATGTATCAAAAGTGTATGATAAAAGCTTTCAACAAGAAGATCAAGCCTCGTGTGTATCAGACTGGTGAGTTGGTAATAAAGCACATCATTCTTCCACAAGGCGATCCCAGGGGCAAGTGGACTCCCACTTACGAAGAGCCATTTGTTGCCAAGAAAGTATTCTCTGGCGGTTCCATGATACTAACTACTATAGACGGCAAAAATTTCCCGCATCCTGTTAACACAGACATAGTCAAAAAATACTACGCATAAAGAATGACCCGCTAGGTTGACATACCTAGGAAAAAATAAGGGCATCCTGGAGAACCAAAAAGGTTCGGGCAAAAGTTAGGGTTATATACAAAATATTGTACACCCGACAAGTCGAAAACCCGAAAGGGCGGCTTGGGGAAAAATGGGTATCCTGGTGGACTGAAAACCCAAAAGGGCGGCCCAGGCAAAAGTTAGGGATTAAAGCGTACGATTATGTCCCGCGGAACCTTTACAGCCAGCTTTATTACAAAGTTCCAAGTTCAATGGTCCAAGATCAATTAAATTGACTTCTTTCAACGACAAGGGATGATGTTCGAAAACATAGGGGCAATAGCGGAGTTGGAGCCCAACGAGATCATTTCCACATGGCTATTATTTTTGTGTTCACTTTGTATTCCTTTCTTCTTTCGACGATTTCCTTTTATTAGGATCTCTGTCTCCTTGTACCAAAATGCCTGTTTATAGGAAGACATCAATACGAATATGTTTTGAAGTGCAACCTTTTGTTGTTTATGTTTTGAATGCAAAATGTCCAATGACTAAAATTGAATGAACATATGCATATGAACATGATTAAACTGTTAACAAGTGTATGCATAAATATAAAAATAAGAAACTACTTAAGGATTTGGAATATCCCCAGAGGGATACTTCAATAAAATCCTCCCCACCAAGCTGGATTCATGCAATCCCCAGCCAAAGTTGCAATCTCTTGAAAACCCTCTCCCTTGTTGAGGTAGTCTTAACTAAGAAATCTTGCGGAGTTCTTCCTAAAGAAAACACTTCCCCAACAGGTCATCAAATTAATTCTCTTCGACAGGGTTTATTTCCTCTAACAAACTACAAATTCTCCAGCTTGAGTTTTCCCCTCAGACTATCATAAATCAATGGACAAAACCCCGTAATCCTCGACAGAGTCGTTTCAATCCTTAACGGAGTCGTTACTATCCCAGTAAGTTACTGTGAAGCCTGGAACCCGACCAGATAACAATTGACTCCATTCCTCTAAAGCAAGTTACTGCGAAGCCTGGACCCGACCAGATAACAGTTCAACTTCATCCTTTCAAGCAAGTTACTGCGAAGCCTGGAATCCAACCAGATAACAGTTCAATTTCATCATTCCCAGTAAGTTACTGTAATTTCTGGAATCCAACTAGATAACAGTCAACTTCAGCAAGTGGTTGCGAAGCCTGGAATCCGACCATATAGCAATTGACTCCATCTATTTCATCAGTTACTGTGAAGCCTGGAATCGGACCAGATACCAGTTAACTTCAGTAAATTACTGTGAAAGCTGAACCCGACCAGATAACAGTTTGATTTCCTCTAAGTTACTGCAAAGCCCAGACCCGACTAGATAACAGTTCAACTTCATCCTTTCAAGAAAGTTACTACGAATCCTGGACTCGACCAAATAACAGTTAATTTCATCTAAGTTACTACGAAGCCTGGAATCCGACCAAATAACAATTTAACTTCTTTAATCGCTGCGAAGCCTGGAATCTGACCAGATAACAGCAATTTATCGCAAAGCCTGGATCTGACCAGATAACAGTTCAACCATATCCTCTCAAGAAAGTTACTGTGAAGACTGGACCCGACTAGATAAAAGTTTGGTTTAATCTAAGTTACTGCAAAGCCTAGAATCCGACCAGATGCTAGTTCAACTCCATCTCTCTAAAAAATTTACTGTGAAGACTAGACCTGACCAGATAACAATTTGATTTCATCTAAGTTACTGCAAATCCCGGAATCCAACCAAATAACAATTTAACTACTTCAATTACTGCGAAGCTTGGAGTCTGACCAGATAACAGTTTAAGTTACTGCGAAGCCTGGAATCCGACCAGATAAAAGTCAACTTCATCCTCCCCAGAAATTTCCTGTGAAGCCCGAAATACGACCAAATAACATTTAAGTTTAATTTTCTACGAAGCCTGGAATCCGGCCAGATAACAGTTAAACTCCATTCTTCGAAGTAATGTTATGAAAAGCCTGGAACCCGACCAGATAACAGTTAATTTCATCTTCCCCATTAGGTTGTTGCGAAGCCTAGAATACGACCAAATAACAGTTAAATTTATTACCCCTAACAAGTTGTTGTGAAGCCTGGATCAGACCAGATAACAACTAACTTCCTTTCCCTCCAATCAAGAGATAACTCCCCCAGTAGAGTAACAGACAACAAAAACTCCTGAGCTCTTTCCCTCAAGCAGAAATCAACACTCCCCACATATTTTCCCTCCAGCAAAGTCAATATTCCCCAACAGAGTTCTCCTTAAACAACAAAACAGGAATCCCCAGCAGAAACATTCTAAACAAGGTCTTAAGACGTGCATACTCTTCATCCCTAATAGCAGTCCAAATTTAATTTCCCAAAGCTCCCTAGTGAAACAACCAACTGAATAATCAACTGATAATGAAATCAATGAAGTCACCATCGAACATTTTTTATCCCACATGAAGGGGAAAGGTAAACATCGAGTAAACCTGAGAAGGGTGAAATCACGATCAAACGACTGAGAGATTGGGTAAGGGAGTCTGTTACGCGAGGGAAGGTATTAGCACCCCACACACCCGTAATACTCTACGATATCCACTCTCATTGTTCTAATCAAAGGGTGTGTTCAAATATATATCTAACTTGTACAGGGAATGCATACAAAAGGAAGGAGAAAATAATGTAGGGAAAATAAAAGTTATGCTCGCTCGGGCCCAACCTCAATGCCTACGTATCCCTTTTAAGGAATCAGAGCAGTCGTAGTTCAGCTCACATGTTTTTGTTGGTTTGTATTTTCTAATGAACAATATCAATTTCTCCTTCTGCTGCAGCTCGACCTTTGGAGACTCACGTGTCAGCACGGAAGTGAATTAACATGTTCTTTCTGAAAAGTTTGAAAGAAAAGCCCGAAGGTGCAAAAGAGTTTGCATTGGTTGATAGCTTTTACCTTAAAGAAGGATTTGAAAATTATTGGATGTTTTATGTATTTGCCAAGAAAAATAGTTTTTTTTTTTTAAATGCAAGGATGCAAAAGAAAATAAAAATACATCTAAGGGAAACTAGCCTAAATCTAATCCCTAATGTTATCATACAATGATGGTCCTATGGTTGAGTTTTGATGGGAAATCTCTACCCTATGTTGACATGATTGGACAATAATCCTAATGTTTATCTCAACTCATCATCTATAGATGAATCAAGAAGTCCTAAATGAGCATAGCAAGAGTCTATCACCTAAAACTATGTCTATCTCGAATCATCATCAATAGTTGAATCGAGAGCTCCTAAGGGAACATGCCGAGGGTATATCATCTCAAAACATGCACACAAAGACGAAATAAAGCAAGCCAATAAGCTCAAGAGAACACACCTAGAGATATCCTATATAGGTTAGCATGCCAAAGAAAATCTAACAAAACTATCATACGGGGAACATGCAATGAGAGCGAAGTCGTGATCTCAATTTATAAATTGAGTGACTCATCGATCAACAAGAAATCAAGGAAAGCGATGAAATCCTATAGAGAGCATGCACTGAGAGCAAAGTTGTGATATCAATTCCTAAATTGAGTGACTCATTAATCAATAACCAAGGAAACAAACACAAGAATAACACATATAGCAAATGAAGTATGGAATGCCTGCTACAGGTCTTTAAACAGCGACTTCGAGTGCACGCTCTTTATTTCCTACTTTTCATGATATCTAGAAAGCAGTAAAGTGTGAAATGAGATAAACAAGAGAAAATACCAAACGGATATCAATCTGTAGCAAAGCGAGCATCAAAACAAAGAAACCCGACGATCTTCGTGAAAGCTTCACCAAACAAAGAAAAGAGTCAGAAATAAAATGCTCGGATTAAGCGTCGAAGCATCATCGATGTGAAAATAAATCATAATCAAAATATCAAGCGCATCTGCATATCGCACAATAAACATGCGTAAGACTCAAATCTCAACAAGCAAAGGTGAATTATCAATCTCAAATATAATCAGATAATCAAGATTTAATTCCTAAAATCACATAAAAAACTAAAAAAAAATTATATTTGACTTTATTATTTTTATCATGTAAAATAAAAAAAAAGTTCAAGCAAATCTAAACAATTCACAAAATTATTTAAAATAAAATACTAAAGAATAAACTCAGGGGGTGCTATTTATAAGCAGGAGGTATGCTTAAGTAATCTGATGATAGGCCCAACAGTAAGAGTCCAAATAATAGTTTTTTGTAAGGCAATGTTATCTAGTTGCCAAAAACAGTTTTTTATGGGCTTTAGGGGAGAGATGCGGATCGGCCCAATTAAGAGTCCATGATATTGTTTCTGTTAAGAATGGTTTCAGCTTACAAAAAAATAGAGTCAGCTTGGGAGGTCTAGAATTAGCCTTTGTGAATACTTGTTTCAGGTTGCCAAAAAAAGACATTCCATTGGATTTGGGGGAGATATGCGGATCGGCCCATGATCCATATTCTTACTCAATTTCATTTTCTTGTTGATCAATTATATTGAATTTCAACAAAAAAATTAATAAAATCAGATTATAATCAAAAAACATAACAAAAGGGATTAGGGTTAACACTGTGTGCGGCAATTGAGATCCCTGATCTCGCCTTCTTCTTCCTCTCAATAGGAACGGCGGTTGAGACTCTCTTTTTTACCTTGGTCTTCTTCTACAAGCTTTAGACGATGACACTCTTCTCTGGTGAACAAAATGTGTCGCCATTCAATTCTTCAAAGCTAACTGCTCCGCCGTCTTCTCAAATTCAACTCAACCCTTGCTTTGTCTTGCATATCAACCATTCACTTTCCCTTAATTCCCTGAAAAATTTTGAATCTATGTTCGACTGTAACAGAGAACCTAACAATTTGGATCGAAATTCTTTGAATAAGAAACCTGGTCTCGAGTAACAAATTGAGTAGTACAGTGTAGTTCTAGTGACTCTTTATCGGCACCGGTGGCACAAGAAATCCAGAGACCAGGTACGTTTCACTTTGGCTTAACCTTCTTCTGGTCTTCTCCTTCAACTTTCAGCCTTTGCTTCTGTTCGCATCTTCTATCGCGGTTTTTAGTGAATCTTGATGATGCGACTTCGTCTCCATTCTTGCAGAAATATTGCGCTTTCTATAATATGATTCACATGATGAATCGAGGACTATGAAGATTGAATATATTGAAGGATGAACATGATGGTGATTGAAGAATATAACGTGTGGTTGTGAACCGATAATTCTCTTAGATGAATATGACGAAGTTGTGGATTCTGGAAGAAATTGCAGAGAAGCCAACAATTGATGATGAAGATGCAAAGGTCTATAGAAGAATAGTGAAGTGCGATGAATATGAAGGAGGTTTTGTGATGAATGATGAAGATGCATAAGAGAGTTTTTTCTCAGTGTTTTGGAAGATGAAGGCGAAGGTGGAGAGTGAATATTGGGAGAGGAAGAAGAGAGAAATTTTAGCGAGTTTTCTTGTGATTCCTTTGAAGAGAATGAAGAATCCCCTTGATAAATCTGGTGAGTTATGTTATATAGTTGGTTACATATTAGAAATTTAGTTAGAGGTTGAATTGATCTGAACAGTTGATTTGAATTTCTGTTAGAGATCTGGACGGTTGAGATTAATTCTTTTATGATTCTGATTAAACCGTGAATTGTTTTTTATTTATTATGATGCATATCTTGGTTATAACCTGCTTTGGTGTGTCATGAAATTTATTATACAACTTGTTTTGATGTGCAGCTTGGTATTTGGAAGTTGGCTTGGTTTTCGCAGCCAGCTTAGGCTTGGAAGCAGCAGGCTTCTTGTTTCTGATTTTCTGTTTTCACGGATATACTGGTATTTCTTCTGACATTCCTGATATTTTCCTTGTATTGTTAAGCTGAGATAATAATAAATTATGTTATAGTAGAAGTCAGTCCGAAAAATCTGTTAGAAGTTAGAAAAGCAAAGAGAACTCTGTTAATATTTGTTAGCTTTTTGGCTACTCAATTAACTTGGTCTGATTGTGTTTTCTGGGTAATTGATTTGCTTCTGATTTTTATATGGTGAATTTCCTGGTTATGCAGGTTTGTAAAGTGTTGGCAAGGGTTTTGGAAATGTTTACTTTGAAGACTGTAAGTGTGTTCTGACAGGGCTTGTAGAAGATTTATTTCACATACGCATAGCTGGAAGAATTGGTGACGATTAGGATTTTGGTGATTGGCTTGAAGATTAGAAACGAAATAAGTTCAAGACTTTTAGCTTTTATATCTTTTCTCTTGTACCATATGAAGAAAACATTCATGAATAAGATTGAAATTGTAACTTTCTTTGTATAGAATCGAGTTGAATTTCCACTTGAACGATAACATTGAATGTGCTTTTCTTCACTTAAAACTTGGAGTGGAAATTTCTCATGAATAAAGCATCACTTTGAATCTTATAACCATTTTCTTGAAACATAATGCATCCTTTTGGATTTATGTATACCAACAGATAAGCATGGTGAATGGAAAAGCACTCGAAGTTTGAAATTGAATGGATGAACTCGAATAATTTGAATAATATGAATGACCATGGAAGTAGTTTCTACATGTTCTTTTTCCAATTATTTTGAACTTAATAATGAAATATTTGAACGAATAAAGATGAATCTTGAACTTGGTACCCATTTGGACATAAACCCTTTATCCACTTTAAGAAACTCAAAACGTTATGAACACAACTTTTTGGTATTATTATGATTAATTGAACTTATGAACTTTTGGCATCAAGAATTGAATGAATACTTCAATAAATGAACCCAAATTCAATCTTAAATTTGAAATTCGAACTCCAATTTTCCAATCTTGCTCGAATCGGATTCTTTGACACCATGATCAAAACAAAGTTTAAGAACCTTGATGACATTCGACTAACTTGAGCATATTAAAACATTGAGTGGAATTTAGAATAGAAATTTGGATGAAGAATCTTGCTTGGTACAAACAAATTTTGGAAATCCCCTTGAACCAATATGGACTTGAAGACCTAGAAAGAGAATACGACTTGAGACGATGAAATCAAACTTTGGTTCAAAACAATATTAGTCATAAATTTTAGTATCAACAAGCCGCCAACCCTAAATCTTTGGGCCTCAATTTAAAGAACTAAAGCCACTGCTCAAACACTCTAAATAGAAACCACAATTATCTTGATTAGGTGTCAGGAAATAAACCCTAATCTCTGGCATTTGATGGAATTGGATGGATCATAGCCCTAATTCCACTGTTCATCTTAAATCGATCCTCATATGCAACTCAAGCGTTCATGACAAGTTGAACCTCAGGTAACTTTAAATGGCGTGCTTGATCAATGAATCCATAGACTCATAATTAAATCTCAACTCCCGAATTCTTGATATCCTAAGCCCATAGTTAACTAGAAAAGAAACTTTGAAACATGATACGCAGACCTCTAATTGATGAAGTAAGGAATAAATGATTCCACTGTATCAATGCCATAATCAACCTCTGGGAGCTTCAACAACGAATGTGCCTTTGGATTTCGAAAGACAATTTTAATAAAACCTCAATGGAATCAATACTCTTATCGAAACCCTTATCCCACGAAATAGGAGCAGATGATTGACAAAAGTATATATGCTAAATCCCACACTCTTTTGGATGGAACCAAATACTCGTCACTTAAGAAAAAGCTTCAGATGAAAGTCAAGCTTTTGTTAGAAAATCCAAGAAGTGACGACAGAACTTGAAACACGAGTAATTGATGGATGTCCTTAATTCAGAATGAGAGAGACTCAAGATAGCCATAAGATACAACCCTAATTCCAAACTTCACTGCTTGCAGAATGACCAGAAGAGTTAGAGGTAATCAGCTTTATTAGGTATATACAACTTAATCACTATGAAACCCTGATATCGCACAAACATTGAACTTTGAACCTCAAGCGCTTTATTGAAATGCAAATGTATGCTATGTTAGTGACCTAATGGAATGTATGAAGATGAATACAAAAACTGAAGCCCAAATAAAAGAAATTAGGAGGGCAAATTTTGGGGTGCAACAGCTGTCCCTATTTAATCGTCTTCAACCTGAAGGTGAGATTAGCGCCAACCTTTCGAACTTTCAAGGTGGAAGAAGATTAAATACTTAAAGGAACCCAAAAATTTACACTGCGAAGCCGGTCAGAAATTATTATATTTTTGTTTTTCTGTATTTTTTATTTTTATTTTTTGGATTACAGTATTTATCTGAGTAAATCTCTTGGATGTCGAGTCAAGGTTAGACATACACAAGATAGAGACCGACCTAAGAAGGCTCTTACGAAGGGACGCCAGTCAAAGGAGAACTTATCGAGGATACAACTATACATTGAATCTGAATTGAACACCGATCAAATGTGGACTTTAGCAATAAAAAGGAGTATCGGGCGAAGGTAAACCTAAGACGGAAAGACACCAGGCATAGGTGAACTTACCAAATAAAAGAGAACATCGGGCGAAGACATACCTTAACTAACAAGAAGGGACACTGGGTGAAGGTGGACCTAAAATGGCAAGACACCGGGCGAAGGTGAACTTACCGAAGAAAAAAGAACGTCGGGCGAAGACGAAACTTAGCCAACAAAAAGGGACACCGACCGAAGGTGGACCTCAGATGGAAAGACATCGGGTGAAGGTGAACTTACCAGAGGAAAGAGAACGTCGGGAGAAGACGAACCTTAACCAACAAAAAGGGACATCGGGCGAAGGTGGACCTCGGACAGAAAGACACTGGGCGAAGGTGAACTTACCGGAGGAAAGAGAACGTCGGGCGAAGATGAACCTTAACCAACAAAAAGAGACCCCGGGTGAAGGTGGACCTAAGGTGGAAAGACACCGGGTGATGGTGAACTTACCGAAGGAAAGAGAACGTCGGGCAAAGACGAACCTTAACCAATAAAAAGGGACACCAGGAGAAGGTGGACCTAAGGTGGAAAGACATTGGGCGAAGGTGAACTTAACGAAGGAAAGAGAACATCGGGCAAAGACGAACCTTAACCAACAAAAAGGAACACCGAGCGAAGGTGGACCTAACATGGAAAGACATCGGGCGAAGGTGAATTCCGGAGGAAAGAGAATGCCGGGAAAAGACGAACCTTGACCGACAAAAAGGGACACCGGACGAAGGTGGACCTAAGATGGAAAGACACCGGGCGAAGGTGAATTCCGGAGGAAAGAGAACGTCGGGCGAAAACGAACCTTAACCAACAAGAAGGGACATTGGGGGAAGGTGGACCTAAGGTGGAAAGACACCGGGCGAGGGTGAACTTACCAAAGGAAAGAGAACGTCGGGCGAAGACGAACCTTAACCAACAAGAAAGGACATTAGGAGAAGATGAACCTAAGATGGAAAGACATCGGGCGAAGGTGAATTATAGAGGAAAGAGAACTTTGAGCGAAGACGAACCTTAATCGACAAAAAGCGACACCGGGAGAAGGTGGACCTAAGATGGAAAGACACCGGGCGAAGGTGAATTCCCGAGGAAAGATAACGTCTGGCGAAGACGAACCTTAACCAACAAAAAGGGACACCGGGCGAAGGTGGACCTAAGATGGAAAGACATCGGGCGATGGTGAATTCCGGAGGAAAGAGAACATCGGGCAAAGACGAACCTTAAGAGTAAGAAAGACAAACTGAAGGGGACTCTAAACAGGGATTGCTAACACGCGTTGTGCTTTCAGAGTTTGCAAATATGCAAGAACTACTAAATCCCTCAGGCCAAAGGTGAGGTGTAATTCTTTAGGAGTGGCAATCATCTGAATTACCACACACCAAGTATGGATACTCAAACACTTGATAAGGAAGAAAGGATAAACACCGACTCTTACTCGCACTCTAATTGCAAAGGCAAACACGGGTAAAATAACCAAAGGCTTGTAAGGGCAAGCGTATACTTTAAACTTACTGGGGATTCCCATATGTATTGAACCTAAACAAAATGCCGGTCATAGGCGGACTTGTGTTTAGAAAAAAAATACCAACTGTAGGGACTCTAAACAAGGATTGCCAACATGCGTTGGGCTTTAAGAGTTTGCAAATACACAAGAACTACAAAATCCCTCAGGCCAAAGGCGGTGTGTAATTCTTCAAGAGTGGAAATTATCCGAATTACCACAAACCAAGCATGGATACTCAAATACTTGAGAAGCAAAAAAGGCTATACACCGACTCTTACTCGCACTCTAACGAATGTCGTACCCCAAATTTGTCCTACCTCGACGATTTTTATTTTTCAAGATTAAAATAGAAGAAATATTTAATTAAAGATGGTACAGCAGTATCTGATGGCCCATCTTTATCCAAGACTAGGGGGTGTATTTTAAATTCAGGAAAGCGGGACTTTTTAAATCAGAAGGACTCGTATATCCGTGAACCCATTCATGTGGCATGTTTACTAATGGCCCATGCGATTCGAAAATATAAAGTTATTTCAAAATAATAACTACTAAATAGTTGTTATTATTGAAATTAAAATTGCTATTAAATGATAATTAAATTTATTAAAGAAACTTAGGTGTTACTTTGTTATTAGTAAAAAGGATGGGGGTAATTTACTTAGTCAGTCCATTTCTCCTTTTTGTTATCTGTTGTTTCATTTTTTAAAAATATTAGTTTTACTTATTCTTAAATGGAATTTGCTATTTTAAAATGGAGGAGGTGTGAGTACAAACTAAAAGCCCATTAAGAATTCATTTGGCCCAATTTTGTTTGGTCATTAAATAGCAAAGAGGGGGTGTGCTTACAAATTACAACCCCATTAAAAGCTTCTAAGCTGGCCCATTTGGCATTTTTGAAAAAAAAACTATTTGATTCTTACTGTTACTATATTACCCACTTTTTATATTTCTGTTGTATTAATTATTAAATTTACTTTACAAATTATTAATAGATTTATTAAAATGTTTTATTAATTATATATATAATTAAGAGTTTTGTTTTAAGAAAAAGATTTGTTGGATCAATTTGTTAAATGAAGTTGGGGTCCAATCCAAAGTAGTAGGGAAAAACATGTTGGACAGGAAACGTTTTGCAAATATAGTTAAAAGCTCA